CATCTGCCAAAGGAGACGTCACCCTCTCTTTTAAACACTCTGCTTGATGTTGCTGATTGTCTCATATGCATATGCTTGTACTGATATCCAGCAAATCAGTGAGATGTGACCAATCTGATACCTGGCCAGTGAGTTTTAAATGTCACTACTTGTAGCTGCCCAGGCAGAATCAGCAGCCCCTGCCATCGTTCTGTGTTTGTCACGAGTGCCACTGCAGCGACAGCTCTGAGATGCTGGCCAGGCCTCTCCCCTGAGAGCACCTTGCCCGTGCTGACCGTGAGTCATGGGGCTGTCGCCCAACCATTGCATTCTGCAGGCTATAAATAGCTCCATTCCCATAAACTATTATCTCACTTTCAGCCAGTCCATTTGCCTGATTCTGAAATGTTTATCTTGCCCTAACTGCCAGCCTAAAGGTGGAATGCTATTTTCAGCCCATGAGGAACTTAAAGAGAGATAAATTTTAAAATACTCCCCTTAGCTTTATTTTCATAATACCCTAGTACTTATGCAAGATGCTACAAATGGAAGACCTCTATGTATTCACAACATATGAATAAAACTGACAGATTTTCTCTACTTACATGTCTCAACCTGGTTTCTAGGGTGTGGAAAAGACTTCAAAAATTTTTGGCTTTGCTCCTATGGCAGACCAGTAAAGCTTGAGAAGAGGCCACGTGCACTGCCTGCAGAGAGCCACTAGTGTGGACAAACAGCAACATTCAAACAACATCCTCACTGGGCCATTCCATCCCCAAATCCTGATTGTCTTTCAAAGCTTTCTCAGAAACTCCATTATTATGCCCACATAAGCACAGTAAACTTTGAATTTTATACTTTCATTTCAAGCTATGGAAAATTTGTGACAGATGTAAAGAGTGGGAAAAGCAGACCCATCAAATAATGTGTAAATAATGAAGAGCATCTTCCATAATCCACTGAGGTGAGAAACAATTAAAGGGCAATTGCCTTCATTGAATGTTGAATCAGTGTGAAAAGCAGAATTTGAAAACTGTCCTTATCTCTAAAATTCTTGATGAGAACTAAGTGGAGCATTCTTGCCAAGTAATTCAGGTATAATCAGGGGTGTCCCACCTGTGCCACAATCCCAGCAGCAGCCACGGGCTAACATCCCTTAAATTGGATCAGTACTCCAATGCAGTTTGGAAGTTAAATGACCTGGGTAGCTGCTCTCTTGTGTGGACAGACTCACTGCTCACAGCACAGAACAGCTGTGCTCTGAGCCATGGAGAAAGTGCTAGAAAATAATAACACTGAGATATCCAAAAGATTCAGACAGCTTTGCTGCTTAAAAACCACCCCAAAACCAACCACCCAAAACCACTCAAAGCAAAGTCCCGAGAAGCCCAAGGTTTCTAGAGGAATGGAAGGAGCAGGCGCTGCCGTAGGGCCAGACTGGTGGTGTGCTGATGCTCCCTGTCCCTGTCACACTCGCTTGGCTCCAGACCAGTGTCATTGTTAATTGGATGCTGAGTGATGGATCTGGCCACCTGGCACCCTGTCTGGCTCCGAGCTCACGATCCCAGTGGGGAACGGGCCACCTGGCTGCTGGGGGGGCTGCAGACCCTGCCGAGCCCATCGCTGCCCCTCAGGCATTTGATGGTGAATACCAACAGCAGCTTCTCTCTTCCGCTGTGCTCACCTCTCCCATCACAACTGGTGTGCTCACAGCCAAACACCCAGCTCATGACACTCCTCTCTTTCCTTCCCTCTGTCTGCCACCATGGATAAACACAGAATCCTGCCTTAATTCATAAATGGGAATAAAATTAGCTACTTGCCCTCTCTCCAATTTCTTTGAATTATTCCAAGTTCCCTCCCCCCACTCCATCCTGTGTTGCTTCTCAACACTCCAGATTAAAATGTGTATTAGCTGTTGAGCTGCACAACAATTTTTATAATGGCACAGTTTGTTAAGTATTTTTCTAATTAGTAAAAATACCGATAAATTAAGAATAACAACAAAACAATGAACTGAACAAAAATGCAGTGAAATCAGACTCATGCCTGAAGGCAAGATTCTCCCCTTGCTTTGCACCCTGTTCTATTATTAGCACTAGCAAAATCATAGTGAGAAAGGACACAATTTTGATTTAATTTTTTTTACATTCATTTTGCATATATGTAAATTACTCCAGAAGAAACAAGACAATTGGAAATTGTCTTGAACAAAGTGCACAAAACGAAATTGTCTTGAATGAAAGAATAAAGTGCACAAAAATAAATCAGTACTAATGTAGAGTGCTGTTTGTGTCACTCAGTAAAACAACCCAAATTCCATGAAAATTAATTTTACTACAAGATCTTAAAGGACTTGCTACAAGTCCTCACATTTTCTTCTCCACTTCCAACGTACCATAAGGAGGTTCTACAGTGGTTTCAAGCTGGTCTGGGGCTACAGTAAGTAGCTGATGTCAAGCTCTTACATCCATTACAAATGATCTGAAAAGAAAGTACTTCACTAATCAAATCTTTGCACAGAAATGTGTCCACTGGCTGGAGCCAGCTGTATTCACTGGTGTTACCTCCTTCTTTAAGCAAAGATTCATTTGCACCTTGAAGGACCTGCTCCAAGTGAATTCAGGGAGTGCTTTCCATAAGCTTATAGAAGGTGGAAGAAAGCATTTCAGATATTGAGGCAAGCATGAATGTTAAACTAATCAAGTTTCTGTCTTCACTTTATTTTTAGCCTTTTTTCAGCTGGACAACGGATTTTCCTGCATCCATGCTGGAGAAGATTTCAGGACACTTACTGCTTTTTAGGGAGCCCTTACCAGCTTGAGCATCATCTCTGACCTGAGCAGCCTTTACTGTCCTTTACCTGGTGAGCCCCTACCAATCAAATCACTGACAATCTTCACACAAATTTATGGGTGAGTCAGGAACACACGTGACAAACCACAGCCACCACCAGGCACTGAAGGAACCTCCCTGTCCTCCAGAAGCCTCTTCCCACAGAGCAGCATCACTCCCCTCTGCAGTCACCACTGCAGGTGTCCCTCAGGTCACTCCAGGGCTCCCTTGGGACACGGGAACAAAAGGCATTGCCGTGCACCTGGCTCTAAGTGCACCTGCTGACCTCCCTGCATTTCCAGCACCTTCCATGCAGCGTTGGTACCTGCTCCTGGGGACAGTGGCCTGCCACTGCTGGACTACAGAGCCCTCACTGTTCAAGGCTGACACCAGAAAGGTTCCTGCTTGCTTATTTGACCCCACTTGTCCATTCTGGCTTTACAGACATGCTCAGCTCCACTTTGCTCCCCCTTATGTCTCAGAGCTCACATAAACACTGGATGGCTAATATTAAAAAAAGAAAAAATTGAGTCATTTTAGTTGATTTTCAGTTTCGGGTCGGGCTACAAGAGGCTCCCTTGTGCTCCCTCTGTATCCGAGCTTGAATTACCAAGTTATTAGGTAACAGCTCACTGGCACAGGCTCCTGCCTGCACATTCAGCGGGCTCTGCTCTCCCTGAGCTCAGTGCTTTCCATCTTCTGACTGGTGATGCATCCCCCCAGCAAGGACCCACATCATTTTTTAATATTCAGGGGGTAATGGGCTGCTGAACATGTACGATTGCCATTTCCAAGTGTGACATTTAGAACTGCTGGTGTTTTACTCTCCCCATTTTAGGTGTCAGTAGATTACTTGTTGCTGTTTGCTAACAGGCTTTGAAGACTTTCAGCTAAAAACAAGGCTGGTGGAAGTTGTGGGGCAAGGGATTTATTGCAAAACCTCAGCATCTGGGACTACCTTAGGAGAGTATGTGCCCTCTCTCTGTACAGCAGTCCCTGCTGATATTGACCCCAGCGGGAGCAGAGTGCTTGTAAGCAACTCAATTTTAGTGTCCTGTAAAACACTGTTTTTCCTTAACTGGTCTGGCAGCCCCAGAATAGCTCTGTGCACTCTAATTCATACAGTTTTGTAAGTAATGACAGATAATACTATCAAAGTTGTTCCTAGAACACAGGGATTAACTCACCTCATTAAAATGTACACATTTTGCATAGCAGGACTACTTGAGAACAACTATTCTAGCCAGCCCAAAGATACAATGTTCTGTGAGAACTAGGATGATCCCTAGCTGTCATCTACTTCCCTGTATTCAGATTTTAAGAAATCCTTTTTTAGATGACTACACAGATCTCATAGCACTGAGCACTTTTAAAATTCTAAAATAGACTACATTAGCTTAAAATTCTAGGTAGTAAAGAAACTTGAGATGAGAGAAACATAATTAACTCGGAGCATGGAAAGATTCCCTTGTGGGAAAACCACCCTGAATTTAAAAAGGCGGTTTGTACAAAGTGCCTAATGGTGAACCCAGAACCTGGCAGGTCACACACTTTGAAGGTTGATCTCTCAGGCTGACGGTGGAAATGCTTTTGGTTTATTTTCCCTGGAGAATTTGTTCTTAGCCATTTGAAACTCACTTGATTTCTTGGTTATTAAAATGCAATCACCCCCTTTTTCAGTGCTTGGTCTTCTTCAGTCAAGAAAATTAAAATAAAAGCTGTGCTGCTGAGATTGCCTACAGGTATCTCTCTGCATTCAAAGAATGCTTCTGAAAGCCCTGCTGGCAAACAGAGCCCAGCTCTGTTCACCTGAAAATAAAAGGTGAAGGTCTCCTGAGCAGACAGACAAGGTAGGAGATGGAGTTTTTCCCAAACAAGTCCATTTTTATTCCTCATAATTTACTTTTTCAACCCACTACAGTGACTCTTCACCTAACTTCTTCCTGCTCCTGTAACAGAAGCTCTGTGATCTACGGGAACTGCACACACAAGCGCTCCAGAACCGAGCTCCTACCCTGGCATTCACCAGCAGTGGACATGCCTGTTCCTACAGATGTGCAGGTGGCACAAAGGCAAATTTTTCAGAACTGTCTGTTGAGGTATTACAGCTGAAAATTTTACAGGCCAGACATCCATTGTAGTAATTACTGTTTCACCATAATTCAATTGCTTTCTAACAGCCTTACCTAACTCCGTTATTCTGGCACACGGTCAGTCAGTCACCCTTCCCAACACTGTCTGGTTTGGTTTTGTTGTTTGGTTTGTTTTTTTCAATTATGGTTACATTGGCAACCTAAAAGAAAACAAAGGGTATTTCTTTCAGCTGTGTTATGTACCATCAGGCTGATTAATTCTAAGTCCTGAGAAAAAAGACTCCTAGGAAATGTTGCTATGGGAAGAAACAACTTTGCAAACTCAAGCTCCATATTTATGCAGTTCTCCATTTTTATGGACAGGTCAGCATCCCTGGCTGAGTTACATCTTCCTCCATGAGTACTTAAAAGAGAAAAGTTGGTTGGTTGGTAGGTTTTTGAAAAATCACAGAGTAGCTCTGCAAATAAAACATATTGGAAGACTGTACAGATCAGATGTGTTAGACACAGTTCAAATAAAAAAATCTGCTTTATCAGTATGTCAAAAATGTTAGGAGATATGTTGTATTGTCTTGTGCCATAAGATGACAAAATTGTTCTAATCCAATCTCTCCTTCTCAGAGCCTGCTTAATAATTAAGAAGATGCCATAGGAGATAAAGCAGTGAATACAGATAACGCAATGAAGCCTGAAAACGGGGACAGAAAAAACTCTCCAGGCCAAATGGAAATCTACTGGGACTCTAAATGAAGCAAAGAGGAGTTCGTCCCTATGTTTTTAAGAATTAGTAAATCATTCTCAATTAGAAATCCTTCTAAATTCCACATACAGATTGTCATTATTTATTAACACCACTTCTAACCAAGGATCTCACCATGGATCACAATGAGAACAAACTGAATCTCACAACTGTAATTTTTACAACTCAAGTCTGACATCTTGTTCCTAGTTAGAGCTGTGGATCACTCCTGGCTAAGTCAGAGGGAGTACTGGTGTAAAATAAAGGGTCAACACTGTGAAAATCATGTACTGCCATGTTCAGAGCCCACTTTCCCCCACGTCTCTCCCAGTCATAGAAAATTTATTGAACTATGAAACGATTCACTGAAACATTCTATTACATAACTACAATCTCCTTACAGTGCAGCTCTAACTGGAACCAGTGGAAGTCCTGCCTGCAAACTCTTGTGTCACGGTTGGATGCTGATTTTTTACCTTGAGGTAAAGTTCTATTCCCTTTTTTATAGAGAGCTCTTAAAACCACAGAACTCAGTCTTTTATCAATTTTTTAGGTAATACACATTAGTTTAATGAAATTTGTTTAGAATTTCCTATTTGGAATGAATACAGAAAATCCAGTGGAGAGTCAGGGACAATTGATCCTTTCTGAAGTAATTTTAATTAAGTGCATTTTTTAACCTGGCCAAAAATGCCACATCCTCAACTGTACCTTTTTCTAATTATATATATATATATATATATATATATATATATATATATATATATATATATATATATATATATATATATATATATATAT